TATTTGCAATTACATGACTTTTATTACATTTTATTTATATTTATCAATACGTTATAATAGCGTCAATATAGCGAAAGACTAATAAGGAGTTATTATGATATTTAACCCGTAATTAGTGTCGTAAAAAAATGTTATATTGAAATTAGTGTATATTATAGATCTAATAAACCCACGACACTTGCAGTTAATGATTAAGAGTAAGGCCTTAATTTAATTACCACGAGAAAAGTTAAGTTTCTCTTTGATAATATTCGTTTATGATATGAGAAATTACGTCACAAGAAATATATTTAAAATTACTACATAATGAACTGTAGTTACTAGATCAAAAGATTAGTATGACATCGTGCGCATGGATTTAGGCTACTTTGTGAACGAGACTGACAAATACGAATTTTACGGATTTATCGCACTTACCTTAATCGAAGCGATGCAACCAACAAGTGCCACGATATTGCAGAGCATGTGATAAGCATTGAGAAGGAGGGTCAGTGAGTGCGTTATGTGACTAGCGACGATCTCGACCAAAAAGAAAGCTGTGGTGAAGAACAGAACCAGGTATAGTTGCACCGGTTGAAGCCTCCTGAACCACTCTTTCACAGCCATGACCCTGTCCACAAAGTCATGTGAACGTTTATACTCTCTGTAACGATACCACGTATATAGATTATTGTTATTTTATAACGGTCACACGATATTGTCGTAACTAATTGTTTCGTACTGCCTACAACTGTATTCAATTTCATATAAACTTTACTTACGATAATTTGTAAGAGGTATATCTTCGATCTTTCTTCGAACTTTTATGTGAGGCAAAATTTTATTATATTCACTTACAAAAATTTGTTGATTTTATCGCAAAATTTATTTTTCTGAAAAATTTCATAACATATTGACTTATGTTAAAAGCTTCGTCAACAAATGTAATAATAAACGTGTAATAATTATTTTTATAATGCGCATTTATGTAAATATACATACATGTATATAGATAATAATATTAAAATTCAAATAAAAATATTAAAAATTGGCCAATTATTATATTTGTTACAGTTAAACGGTTATTTGTCGTTTATTATAGGCGTTAATAGTAATCTTTATCGGTTTGATTAAGGATTAAAAAGAATGAAAGAATAGATGAATAAAATTAAAAAGAATAACATTTTATTATATTAATAATTTGAAAATAATGATTCGTTTATATGTATTTAGATTGCAATTCATCATATCATGTCTTATTTATCTTCTATTGATAATGCAATATATAAATTAATAACATAATAGGGATATAATTCCAATAAAGTATATAACTATTATGTTACTAATATATTATATATAAATTTATATTAATAACATAATATTATATTTTTTACGTTTGTTTAACAAGCCAATTAATTATGAAGATGTTACGCATCAAAATCTGTGAACACATAAAATGTGCAATCATTAATACGAAAAGAAATTTGATATTAAAGGTAATATTATATATATACACACACACACACACATAAATATATGTATATTTACATAAATGCGCATTACACGACAAAAATCGGTTTTTTTTCCTTCCATGAAAAAATCAAAGAAACTCTGAAAGTAGATATAGAAAAAAAATACCCGTATCTCGGCGTTTTATCCACATCAAGTCGTTAACGTTTTTTAAGTATGATCAAATGTTTTTTTATAATACTGTACAGCACAGGTTTCCTCCTATAAAAAATTCAAAAAGATTCCAAAAGTAGATGTTAGGGAAGCATACTTATCGCTCAAAATACACTTTCTTCACAATCATTTAGATTTTTTTCCATCAAGTTTGGGCGAATTCAGTGTTGAACATAGTGAACACTTTCATCAAGACATTGCGATCATTGAGAAACGCTTCGAAGGAAAAAACAAATGCTTGGTGAATACTGTTGGAATCTATTGTTCGTGATACAAAACCGGAATCGTACAAACGGCAAATTAAACGATCAAGATTTTTATAATAATTATAATTATAATTGTATTATTATTATTATTATACCAAAATTTAAAAATATATGAAAACAAATAATTCTCAGTTGTTTTTTTTATTCGGACTCATCGCATAATTTTACATGCAAAAACGTCAATTATTTATTTTAAATAATTATTACATAATTTAAAACAATTGTAGAAAGCCAATATAAAGCAAATACGACAAATGGCTGTATAAAAAACGTTAACGACTTGATCCGGTAAAACGCTGAGACATGAATATTATTTTTTATATCTGCTTTCAGAATCTCTTTGATTTTTTTGCGGGAGGGAATATGTGTTGTATTGTGTTATCACTCAAAATATTTATTGCACGTCTAGTACATTTAGCGACAAAATTTTAAAACTTTAATAATTAAATTTATTTAATTTATACATTATATACACACACACACTTTAAATATATATATTTATTTATTATAACTTTTAAATAAAACTTTTATAGATTTGTACATTTATATAAATTTATTCTTTTATTAATATTTTTATTCAAAAAGCATGCTAAAACATAGTTAAACAAGTTAATCATGGAAACTTCTATTGGAATAGCTTCTGTATAGCAAAGTATTAAAACATTCTTTTTACAATCTTTATGAACAAACCGTGAGGAATCAAGATCGATGGCAGGATGTAAAGTTTCACTATGCTGCACAGTGGCGAGGAGAAAGAAACACTGCTTTTGAGTGACTGATATCACGTTCTTTACCGATTAAGCAACGCTTCTCGAGCATAATGGAAGATACTCACAGGTAGATCGATAAAAGTAGACGTTCGACTGAACGAGATAGTAACCGACGTTTTGCGGATAAAACGATATTGGAGTACGAAGCGGTTAGATGTCCACAGTTGTCTATTCGTTGAATTCGACGAGTCGAATCGTTCTCCGTTCGTTAATTCGTGCGTAACTAATTTTTCGTTCCTTAGACCGGTATTTATCCGCGATGAATCGTCCGCGCAAATGATCTGTATATTCGCGCGACTACTATCACTTACTGTCACTTCACCAGATAATCTGCATTTCGTGATGTGCGCGCGCGTCGTTCGATCTCGATCTTGATCTTGACGTTAGATTCGTGTACCTGCACAATGATGCTGTTGTTTAATCGCAGGATTTTTTGCCAGAAGATGCTTGTTAAGTCGATAAATCGCTTTTTGTTTCTTCTAAAAAATTCGTTCTTTGATCTCACGGTGTCAGTTCTATTTCATCTTGGAGCACAGAGAGAAGAGAACTCTCGCCCACGTCGGACGTTAACGTGATGAAGAAGACGACGCAAGATCGTTTTCACGCGACGCCGACCTTCGACAAGACAATTTATAGTTAACTACATCCGTTTAATCATTACTGTTATATCGCGGCGTACAGTGAATTTCGTAAATCGGGAATTTTCGATAGAACACTGGACTGGACCACCACTTGGTATGTGCGCCATATCAGATATATGAAGTCAAATGATCAACTTCGTTGTTACTCATAACTATGTTTGATAAAGCAAAATCGAAAATAAGAATGTGAATCACGTGCCTTAAAACCATGTAATCTAATATCAAATACCAGAGTGTTGAAATATGACATGATGTCTGTTTCAGCCTAGAGCTATTTGTTATTTGAAAATGAAGATTCGCAAGATTTATGTCTATTCTCCTAAATACAGGAATCGGTTCTGTTATCTGATTGCAGTACAACTAACATATTTCTATTAAAGAGAACTATACCTATACTGCATTGTAAAATATTAACTGATTCGGCCGTTTTTTATTTATAATATTCAATCAAAAAAATAATATTACCATGAAGATATAAAAGTAACTCTATCAATAATTAAAATTAAACTAACTTAACTTCACAATCCGTCCATCGAATAACTATGTTGTTCTTAAGATTTTCAAAAATAATATCTTCTACAGGAGTAACACATTTTGAGTTGTATCGTTTTTGTAAATAAAAAAGAGAACATTTAGAGTTAACACAGTTTTGGTTTCACTTTAAAAAAAATTCATATCTGTTTACGAGAACAAAACGGAGGGGGGGGGGGGGGAAGGGGGGGAGGACGTATCAACGTGGCTCTTTTCGATACCGATCTAAATTGAGCGTGCAGATTTCTCGAGTGTACACAACGAGTGCAATTTGTAGTATGTCACACGTACACCGTATTTGGCATGTCTGCGTTAGATCTGAAAGGGGGACTGTCAAAGCGTTAGTTGCGAACATCCGGGCGTAGTAATGGGCTCGAACAACGAAATTCCCTCTCCAACAATCGACGTCATCTTGGACGATCAACACATTGTGACACATTGAAAACGTAAAAAGCGCGACAAAACTATACTGAGGGACAGTTACGCGCCGGTAGATAGTTAAGTCCGAGCGATTTATAACTGATTCTACATGTTTGTATTTTCCTCGACTCTTCATTAAGGAAACTGGAAGATTTTCGAAAACATGATTGTTGCTATCTTATCGGGAGACTTATTCAAATAATGCAGTAAGAGCGATAACACTCTTTTTTTAACATATTGCCATTTAATACGTTCTTTAATTCAGTGTTCTAAAACGTTTCAAGTTTATTGCATATAACATACAGCTGACTTGCAAATTGTCGCGAACAATTATTCACAAATAATTCGTGATCTTTGCAAAAATTACGTATGTATATTTATAATATGTATTTATATGTATGTGCATACGTACGTGTATGGATATTTTTTTCAATACTTTATCGAAGAAACGTTTTATCGCTATGATAATGAGAAGTTGTATTGACCTTTGAACTTCAGTGAGTTGTTGAAGATATTTGTAAGAATATCAGCACTCTCAAAAAGGAACACAATTATCGCATTCTATATATTGACATTCCGTATCACTTTTTACAAAATTTCCGCTGAAGATGTTCTTGAAGAGAACCGAATTCGCACAGTGCGCGCATATTGCGGAGGCGGACTAATGTTCGTTTCTGATCACATGTAGATTATATCGGTAGCCCATTGTGATGATTACAAAAATAAGCAGTAGCCGATAACTCACTGATTATTTGCTCGCGTATCGAATGATCAAATAAAAGACGAATGTCGCAATGACTATGTTAGATAATTAAAGATTCAGGGACGTTTAGGCTCGATTGCTTTCTCATTATCAAAATCTCAATAAAAATCTAATATTATCACAAAATTTCAAGGATTAAACATATTCTAGTGCAGATCTATAACTGCATAGTGTCCTATGTCTCTTTTAATTCATTAAAAAGCATTACGAAAATATGTGAAGAGCACTGACAAATATATTTATATTAGTATTACAAAAAAGGGTACAACTTTTTTTGCAATTGTTTAGGATTTGTTTTATTTCTACATTTTTTTATATATTTTGTTCATAGAGACCGAAAATGATCATATGACACTACATTTAAAAAAGATTGATACATTGAAATAAAGATAATAAAATCCTTATTCACATCGTTACAAAGTCAATTATGCTTTAATCATTTAGAAACTAATTCAGAGATTGTTGACTCTTTGAAGTTTTTAAATGACTGAAGCATAATTGACAGTGATTTCATAACGTGAATAAGAATTTTATTCTTTATTTTAATATATGTGTCAATTTTTCCTTGAATATAGAGCGTCATTATTATATAATTTTCGATTTCCAAGAAAAAAAATGCATTAAAAAATGTAGAAACAAAATAATTCCTGAACGATTGCGTAAAAGTGGAAGTCCTCGTTTTTATATAAGTACTAGAGATTTACCGATAGAGAGATAAAAAAAAAACAAATAGAACAATGAAAGCCGGAATTATATGTTGCACAAAACAAAAGTACATACCTAATTAAATTGAACAAAAGTTAAAATGATGAAGCCTTGGTTAAGACCGATGAAAGATAATATATGAACCAAGATATTACTACTTGTAAAAAGAAAATTATTAAAGCTTTAAAAAATTTTCTTATTTCATATTACAAACACTTTCATTATATACACTTGCTACAATACTGAAATTCGTTTGTCACGCAAGTAGAGTTCGAATTCGAAAATGGTTCTTTATCCGCGAGTGGAGAGCTGCTTGTTAGTCTTATCGACATTGTTTGCGCGTAATTATAGTTTCGTTTTACAGCCGCTATATACACGTCCACATATTTCCTTTTTTAGAATATTATTATTGTAAAATATTATACGACAGAACTATAAAAAAGTAAAGAAAATAGAAATTTTTACAATAAAATTTTTATATTAAAATTTTTACAATAAAAATCTTATAAACGTGGCTTTGATTTCTAATTAAAGTGTGCTTTCATCGTACTCAACAAATGTTCACTATGTGACAATCGGTCACAGATGGCATTTATTTATTGAATAAATGTGATATAATTATTAATTTTATAAGTTTATTAACATATTTCGTACATATGTAATTAAACTTTACGTATTACATCAATAAATAAATTAAAATTCTCTTTATCATTGGTTAATTAAAAAAAAGCAGTAACTCAAACTTTCTTAATTTTAAATCATGCAGTCAATTATAAAAGTCCATTCAGTTCAAAAAAATAATCTCAAAAATTTAATTCTTGGATTACGCTGTATTAATTGCATTACAATATTATATCTATTTTTTTTTTAATAATTATCTAAATTTTATAAAATATACTCTTAATCTTAATATATATTATGTTTGCATATTATTTATAAAAATTAAAAACATATTTATATCAGATAGTATTTATCCAAAATGTAATGCAAACTAATACAGTAAGTTTAAAAATTAAATTTTCTGAGATTATTTTAAATAAAATCAAAAAATTCATTTCAATACCGAATATTTTTTTAAAAGTTATATATACAATATCTTAAAATCCTTTTTCATATCTCAGATTTGTTCTCGTATGATATTTCTACGATATATATGGTAACTAATTAATGCTTGTTACCAGTTTCAACATTTTTGATAATACAGTTTTATTATCAAAGACTATATAAACGACAAACAAAATCCTATGCCTTCATAATTATGTATATGAATAAATAATTCATCATACGAAATACAAGCGCATTAATAGTAATACAAATAAAATTTTATAATCAAGAACAAATTCCTAAAACTGACATTGATGTTTCAGGAAATAGAAATTTTTTTCAAGATTTTTATTTAAAAAATTTAATTAAGTAACATATGAGATTATATCTAAGATTCAACGAAATAAAAATTATTTTAATTATTACTATTTTTAACATTAAAATTATTATTTTGAAATGATATTTTAACTTACTATTTTATTTGTGTAATCAGTAATTAACTACTTTCTAATAAATAATGAGTTAAGAGAAATGTTGCAATTTAGAGATCGCTATCAATTTCGTAGTGACACAAAATAGTACAATATTATTATGAATGTTTTATGTATATATTACTACTGCATGGTTAATGGATGCTGAAAGTAAATACAGGAAGTGACAATTATTTGCGAAAAAAATCCGATCAACTGATCACTGATTCATGCATTTCTCTTGAGTCTTTCTCCAGTTTTTTTCCATAGAAATGTTTTATATAGATCCGTAGTTCTCTCAATTAGATCGTCATGTAGTACTCATCAAAAAGCACATTTTCTTAATTTTGGAACTTGTATTTCTCAAAAGATGATTTGTATTTGTGTCACTTAATTTTAATATAAACCTGATAAATGTGATATGACTACTTAAAGATTAACACTTAAGTTATTGAGAAATGATGTATGTAGTAATAATGTGAAACTGTGAATATAATTCAGTCAATTAATGTGAGATAAAAATTGTGCATTACAATTTACCACATTTCAATAATCGCAATGTACAAAAAATTACTCATTATTTATTTAACATTGGAGATATAATCTTCAATTAGATTCTTGTCTCACAATTGCCACAATTATCTTTTTCTAAATTTTACAATTTTTATAAAATCAATAAATCTTCTATTTAAAAATAATTAAATAATTTTTTTATAAATAACATTAATTACATCAATAATAATCAACATTTTTTGCACGTTTTATAGAATATTTTCTTTAATTGTCTTTTTTATTCGAGAAATAAAAACTATTCAAAACCAGCATTTGTATTAGCAGCATGTTTAGCTTTCTGTAAATAGTTGCGTTTATATCTTTATAAATAAAATCAATTATTTTGGTACGTATGCAATTGTCAGAATTATATATAATTTTGTTTTAGCTCAATAAATAGAAGTTGCTAATCGCTGTCATTGTATATATCTCTTGTGCACACCTGTTTAATAAGAGAGTTTTAAGTTATTAAGTAGTAAGTCTATGTGCGTGTGTATAAAATTGAAGAACACTGACTCATAAATCCGCTCAAACTTGACCGCTCAATCATGTCTGTTTAATTCGTAGCTTTCACACGGGCAACGTCCGTTTAATTATTAATGACTTGTAAAATCCGTATCATGATTGACAGCGTAGTAAATATAAATAAAATATAGAGGCTTATCTAATGTAACATTTCTCGTCTGGGTGCAACGGACAAGAATGAAATAAAATGACTCTCATCTGAATCCGTTTCTTTCAGCAACAAAATCTTCATGTCTTTTAGTCTCTTTTTTCACGTTGGTTTTGCTTTCCATTGATGGTATCCGTTCCTGCAACGTCATAATAAAGAATATATCTAATAACGATACATCAAATATATGCATTTTTATTAGTAAGAAAAATAATATAGTAAAATTTAAGTAATAAAAAGTAAACAGAAATTTCGAAAAAACTTATAATTAATTTCAACATGATTCATCCAATTAATGTTTGTATTTGCTACAATTATGTTGAACCATAATGTTTTCTATATATTGTTGAAAAAAAGCATATGAAATATTCTAAATATGTCTGTGTATTCAGTAACAAAAAATAAACATGTTTCATTACGTATTTATATTTCTGTTTAGCGTTATAATTACCTCTTATACCTCTGATAGGATTGCTTAATAAGAAAGTCAGAAGAATTTGTCAAGTATTTTAAAATTTACAGATATTATAAATTATATTATTGCTAGAAATTCGGCATATTTGCATGATGTATTTTCAGCAATTTCATCAAACTAGATCACATATAAGTTAGTGAGAAAAATGACATTGTATACCGTTTTAATTATTAAAATTTAATTATTAAGTGAACGTATTAAAATATCTTTATTTACTGGAATATTTGATGAGAAAAAAAATATAGAACATTCAAGTGGATATTAACCGACAATGTTTTAGATCTTTAAATCGTAACAATGAGAGCAAACTGTTTTACTTCCTTTATATATTCCGATTCTGTAATTCGTAATAACAGTGTTGGTATCGTTATTGTCATTGCGTAGGTATTATAGGTATGTGATTCAAAAAAGCTGCGTAAAGAGAATGTAATGTGATACCAGATACTGATTCTGTCCTTAAAAGTTACAGAATCAGAGTACCAAGTATAAACGTCGATCGTGTAAAAACTTTACCTTATTTTTTATTATTTAATAAAAAAAGTAATAAATTATCAAATTAATTACTTAA